GAGAATAAAAGCAGCACAACAGATGGGTGGGGAGGACGGGAAGGGTATTCCAAAGAGAGCAAAGGCAGTTTTCCTTTGGACTACTCAGCCTCAGGCTCACTGAACACTGCCCTCTCTCAGGCCCCCACCCCACCCATGCCTTTACAAAGCCGGCCACCTTGGTCCCAGTGTGCAGCAGCAAGAGCAGCCGCGAAGGGGAATCAGAGGAAGGCAGCAGCCGGGCGCAAGAAGTGGAGGAGGTGCCTTGGAGGCCATCTGGGATGAGGGAGGGACCGCAGCCCCTGAGCTTCGACGCTCCCTTCGGCAGGGAAAGTCTGCCGGGCCAAGTTCCCCTCCCGGTTCGCGCTGATTTTACTGGTAGCTGGGTGAGGGGGGCAGAGAGGCAGGCTGAACGAATGCGCCTCGAGGACTCAGCAGTAAGGGAGAGCCCGGGCAAGCATGCTTCCTACCTTTGTGTGCGCGTGCAGGAAACCAGGAAAGCCAGACTCCACGTGCAGCCCGGCAGAACTAAGGGCTGCTGGGAGCCAAGGGTGGGGCTTCACTTCCAGGAGGAACCAAGCCCCCGCCCTAACTTCCTTCCCGGTCCCAACCCAGCCGCTGAACATAGTTTCAGAATGTGGTGCGGGGAGCAAGGGTGGCTGGAACCAGTTGCCCCCGGGGGAGGCTGAGCACCTTCCTGAAAATTTCAGGGGAAGGCTGATGCCCCGACGCCCCCACGAACTTTACGCCATCCCTGGGGCATGTCTGCACACTGACATCTCCTCTACAAAGATATCTGAAGCTGCCTGCTACTCAACCAGACCATTGGTCCACTTGTTTCAGAAGAGTCTGCCAGGACGGGCAGCCTCTCCACAGTCTGGTCTTTCCCGGCCTGTTTACTGTGCTGTGAAACTGTGGAGATCAGACTTTTCAGTGGTGGGTGAAGAGGTCCAACGCCCACCCCTCCCCCTGATGGTTATTATTTTTTGGGACTGCTTCGGATCACCCCAAAATTCCCACACTGAGGATACTCTGAACGGACGTGAACATGAAACAGATAAGACAGTTTCAGGGGGTAGCCATGTTGGTCTTCAGTAGAAAAGCTGGGATCGAGGGAGGGAGGGAGTTTTCGGAGGGTAGCTGTGCTGGCCTGCAGTAGAACAGCTGAAATCAAATCCAGTAGCATAGATACATAGATACGTAGATAGATAGACAGACAGACAAACGGACACAGAGGGTAGCCATGTTGCTCTGCAACAGAACAGAATCGAGTCCAGTAGGGGGGAGAAAGAGAGAAAGAGAGAGAGACAGACAGACAGACATTTTCCTCCAAAGAGCACAGGGTGGCATACATACTTCCCACCTATTTTATCCTCACTATAACCCTGCAAGGTAGGATAGGGGGGGAGAGAGAGAGAGAGAGAGAGAGAGAGAGAGAGAGAGAGACTGGCCCAGAGTTACCCAGTTTTCACAATTCTCCAGTGCCAAACTAGACATCATGGCGTCCTCATTTATTTATTTATTTATGTTCTTCCTCGTCTGCCTTTCTCCCTGGGATTCCAGGCGGATGACACAGAGCGAGTCACTGCAGTCGAATGAACGGGACATTCAGGGAACAACGCAATAGGAATTAGGGTTGTGGTGGCTACCATGAGGACACCATCCTCATTCTAAGGGTGATTCTGAAACACTGCCGAGGTCCGATCCTGATCGGCGCTGAAGTGAAGTGGACTGAAGGACTCCCCCTCCCACACCCCATGCGGCTTATCAAATGCAAAAATGGCCACACGCGGGGCTGTTTCAAGGTGGGGTGGGGGAGGCAGGGCACTGCCCTCGCAGCCTTTTAAAATCACTTCAAAACAGTGGCAGTGTCTTCATGGCAGCCACGGGAACTGCGTCACACCTCATGTGGCTCTCGCTCCTGTGAGCAGGAAGGAAACAAGACAGCCGATTGAGGCTATTGGTCAGTGCCATTTTTTGTAACGCTGGAGGAATGAAAAAGTGCCTTTGTGGTCTTGAAAAGCTGTCGTCAGTTCAGACATGCCTATTTGTACTCAGGACATGGCCGGAGGAGGTCGGCTGCAGCAACCTCGAGGAAGCAAAACAGAGCTGGGTCTGATTGGTGCTTGGAGGGGAGCTCTCCCAGATCTCAAAAGCGACCTTGAGGTCCACAATACAAGAAAGGCAGGAAATAAATGCAATTAATGATCCTCTTGGGGGGGGGGCTGCTTCCAGAGCCCCGCCCTCTGAGGCTCCATCGGCGGCAACCCAAGAAAGAGCCTTCTCGGTTGTGGCACCACAACTGTGGAATTCCCTTCCCAGGGAGAGCTGTCCGTCTCATTCTACCATTGTATTCCACCAGTGGGTGAAGATTTCCTGTTTTGCCCAGCGTTCCCTCGCCGATAGCCTTTTACGTGTTTCATTTTACTTGCTTTATTTTTATACACTTGTGTGTGTCTCCCTAATCAAGTTTTCATGTTTTTCTTGCCCGTCGCC